GAGACCATCAGCGATGGTGGTAGCGCCTCTGGGATAACATATTTAAGACGGGGAAAAAATTACTGTGTGCAACAGCAGCCAGAAGAGAGAAGTGAGAATATGTTAGAAGAACAACTCTGCAGACACCAAGGTCAGTGAAGAAGGAGGGGAGGAGGTGCTCCAGGCACCGGAGCAGAGATTCCCCTGCAGCCCCTGCTGAAGACCATGGTGAGGCAGGCTGTGCCCCTGCAGCTCATGGAGGTCCATGGTGGAGCAGGGGGATGTGCCCGAAGGAGGCTGTGACCCCATGGGAAGCCTGCGCTGGAGCAGGCTCCTGGCAGGACCTGCAGACCCATGGAGAGGGGAGCCCAAGCTGGAGCAGGTTTGCTGGCAGCACTTGTGACCCCGTGGGGGACCCACGCTGGAGCTGTCTGCTCCTGAAGGACTGCACCCCATGGAAGGGACCCACGCTGGAGCGGTTTGTCTCCTGTGGGAAGGACCCCAGCTTCGGTAGGCCCCTGATGTCCGGCCAGGGTCAACCCACCACAAGACACATTCAGGACATTAGGTTAACAATCATGAAATTTAAAAAAAAATTTCTTGGGTTTTCCTTTTTAGGATTTAGGACCCTCTTTTTTAATCTTTTCTTTGCAACAAGAAACAAACCTTATCAAAAACTTATCAAAATTCCCCCATGAACTCTAAAACTCCACAGTTACTCATCATGGAATTTTTTGAAGTGGGACTTTTATAAAAATACCAACCATGATCAGAATCAAAGGAAAAGCATTAGCTTGAAATACGCATATCATTTTGGGGATCAAAGAATTGTTAATCAAATTTCAACCTGAAATGGTAGCACTGGCTAGTTATTTTAGTGACTTTTTCTACAAAAACTTGCTTAGTAAATAAAATGTTATTTATATTTGATATCCTTTGTAAATCAGAGAGATCTGCAGTTATTGTTGGAATACCTACGTGATGCAAGACATATAATTATTTACATGGATATCTGGAAATTTGATCAAAAGGCCACAGAGTAGCGGTCACCTGCTCCTTGAAGATAAAGTTCAGATTATGCAGGTATGATAGATAAGAGCACCCGCCTCTACTTGGTTCATAGCAAACTTTTTGAAGTGGAGGAGGATGTATTAGAAACTGTAGTTTATGCAAAATGCCATTTTTCAGACAGACCCCTACACCTTTTAAGTTCCATGTGTGAGCTCAAATGCAACATTCCCATGGTAAAGGATCTTGGTTTGGAAAACTTGGCTTCTGATATCACTGTGCTTGGAAATGGTCAAAAACTGTAAGGGAGCTGTAAATGAGGAGAGATTCAATAGCAGAAAAGTGAAGAAACAGATGGATTTGTGAATGAGGCATTTAGAATAGGAGTAGGGGCATTGGCTCCCACTATTTTATTAACCACGTACTGTCAATATAATCATGAGCTCATCAGCTTTTTAATACGTGAGGAAAACTTCCCTGCTTACTGAAAGTAGTTAAGGAGAATTAGCTCATAAAAGACCTACAAAATGTTTAGAAAACTTTCAACTTAACTAATCTTTTCATAATATTGCAAAGATATAACCATAACACTGCTCTTCAGCTAAACATTTTTTAATGTCATCTTAATGTCAAGGTGATAATGTCTTAAGAGTGTTAATTGACCTTTATCTGATTTCCTCTCCAAACTGAGGAAAGTACACAGAAGGTATTATAGAAGATCCTTTCTGTCCTTTGGGCAATTTTGAAGATAAACAAAAGTGTCCTTTTTCATGCACAAGGAAAATGCCAGTTTCTCTTCAGGGGCTGTTTACATGAGAAGCTGTGATGCAGTAATCTGCAATCCCACTAATACTCTCCTTGCCAGAGGCGAGATTACAGTTCAGAATTTATGATGCATCTTTGAATGCAAATGCCTTTTGAGTCAGATACTGAATTTTCAACAAAAGATGAAGACAGAAGTATATTAGCACAGAAAGCTAATGAAGAATGGATTGGATTATTTTTTCACCAAGCTGCCATTTTACTAATTACACATACAATTTGTATATATGCTCCGTTATTTTATACTTTGAATGGCCAAAAACTGCAACAGCGCCATTCCCTGTGAAACCCTTTTCCTGCCATGCTCTTTGGTAAGTAACCGATCATTCCCTTTAGTTACATGTATACATTCTTCAGATGAAACTATTAGAAGATGTCTGCACCAAACTTAAAACACGTTGGTGAAAAAAAGAGAACTGCCAAAGTTGTTCCTATTCCAACATCTCAATCCAGATCTACAGCTTATTTTTAGTATTTTTTTACATACTTCCTCTATTTAAAAAAAAATGGAAACAGGCTTGAAGGGTTTTATTACCCAAAATGAATTTCTGATAACTCTGTCAAAAGAATTCTCATATGAATTTTGATGAAAACTGAGTAATTTTTCTAAAACATCACTAGTATTGAATACTGTTGCATAATTTTTGGAATAATCTGTTTCAATGAAAAACGTGCCTTCAGAAGTAAACCAAGCTGTTCTTTATGCACAGGTATACGTTGCATCCAAACAACAAGAATCAATTTTAAAGTTAGCGTAGCAGCCCTTGTCTGCCTTTCACCAAGTATTTTTGCAGATCGCAAGCTCTTGGGATATTTACTTCTATGTGGCGCTTACTATTGCTCAGCGGCGTACAAAGGCCAGGTCAGAGGTTGCCAATAGTGAAGCCGTGGTGAGCCCACGGCTCGCAGGAGGCTGCAGCACAGCTCCCAGGAGGCGGCAGCTCCTTTGGCTGGGTCAGGTTGAGCCGGGTGCTGCCGGGGCCGTGCCAGCCGGTGCCCAGGAGCTGGGCTCGGACGGTCAGCATGCCGGCAGCCTGGATGTGCATTTGGGCTCAGGGGATCTTGAGGAAAGGCCTGCCTTTTTGCAGCTTGGCAGTGGTAAGTCCTCTGCTGGTAATTAAAGTAGATGAATAGGAAAGGAAAAGCTGGAGCGCATCAAACTCGCATAACCCGTTTGAATCTTTTCTAGCTAGTTATTCCCAACTAGCTGCAGCTAAGCTATGGCTTACAACTGCAGCCAAAAACTTCAGGGCTTGGCAAAGCAGGGGCTCTCACAGCTTGCTGTGACAGGAGTCAGACAAGGTATTCGAGAGGAGTCAGGAATTCCTCAACATCCATAATAATGAACATCTGCTCTTCTGCACAAACAAACAAGAAATACCTCTCTCTCTCTCTAAGAAACCAGAGTTCTCGTACCTTCAGCTTTGAGCCTGCTTTCAGGCACACAGCTGCAAGTTAAAAACGTTATCATCTCCTGTCCTTTAGCTCTGGGGTAAAATCGGAGATATCAGCCCCTGCGCCAGCACCAGTCCGATGCAGCGAGGGACGGCACACAGTGTCGCTGCTAATGGAGGAACAGAGTTTGCATGGGCTCCACGGCCGACGACAGGCAGCAGCTATGCTACTCACTAATTGACACACATACGCCTTTCTGGTTCGTACCCCTTCCTCTGTAGCTGGAAACTTGGTGGTATGTTTGCGGTCTAAAGCCTTTGCTAGCCCTGCAAACTGAGCTGTGGTTGGGAGGAGCTGGCTGGGAGGCAGAGTTTCACAGAGTGTGGCTGACCGACATGTTTCCTCTAGGCCAACACTTTCAAAACAAGCCACAGAATGACTCTGGAAAAGGTATTAGAAGGGAGTTTTACAGAAGTTCCCTCACTCTTGGCAATTTCCCTTGGTATATTTGGGCTTTGTACCTTTAGGCTGAAATACAGACTGCAACACGGCAAATACCAGAAGCATAAATAAATTGTGGCACCGTATGAGTTTTCTATTTTGAGGTAACCTTACAATGTGCGAACATGTGTAGAATATGGTTCCAAAGGACAGGTCTATCACGTGTTCTGGTGTAGAAATAACTGCTGGGCAAATCTGAAATGCTCTCTCAGAACAACTTTTTATTCCTTGGTCTTAGGCATGAAGTAGGCAACAGATGCTGAACAGAGGGGTTAGTAAACTAACTGCTTGCTGTGTTCTGCATACAGCTACACACCTCATTCATTTAATAGTTTGTTTATTCCTTTAGATATGGTGTATTGATAAAGTTCAGTAAGGCAAAATGACAGATTGAGGATGGACAGATATATAGATAGATAGAGGGTCTTCACCACCACTTCGTAGTCAACTGATATGTACTGCAGTTGCAAAGTTATTGCAGTATTACTGCTACAGCTATTGGTACAAACCATCCAAAATAATGTATGGTCCCTCTGGGGATAAACAGCAGTGGAAATCAGAAGTTCAGCTGTAATTGTAACTTTGACGCAGCCTTGATCTAAGAAGGTAAAAAGCCTGAGCTGGTTTCTCAATTAGGTGAATTTTTGGAGAACAAGACATTGCTTGTGATTGCCTTGTTTTGATAAGGAGGGTATTTTAGGCTCCAGCTCTGTCCATAATGATGCAGTTTCAAAAGCAATACATACATTAAAAAAAAAAAAAAAGAGAGAGAAGCACAGTCCTAGGCATTCTTGGCTTCATTACATTCCTGCGTTTGTTCATCTCCATTTCAACTGTAAAGGGATAAGTGAGCTGATTGAGGAAGGATAACAAGCCAAATCAGAGAAACGTATTTAGAAGTCTAAAAAACCCAGGTAACTTGGCATGTGTTTGTTTCCTAAGGTAACTCACCACTGAAAGTAGACACAGCAAAGTACGGTGGGGAAGTCCTGAATCAAAATTCAGGAGCTAATCTGTGATCTGTTAAATGTTGCATCCTATTTCTAACATAGGATAAACTAAGCATCTAATATTTGCAGGTACAAACAAAAAACTGAACTGGTGTAGCAGACAACTATTAAAAGCATAAACATCAAAGTAATTAACTGCCACTAGCATTAACTGCTGCATGATATGAACAGATTATTTTTTAATGTATTTTGGATACATGTAATCTCAAAAATAGATCTACAGTATAACAAAGTTACTATGAATACTACATGTTCATTAAGAAAAAAAAAAGCAATCTTCCTTACCTGCTATTGCTTCAAGACTAGGGATTGCAATAGTGCTGTAAGTGCTAATACATTTACAGGACCATGTGCGAACTAAGGTTTCCTCTGCATTTTCCAGGCCTGGCAATCTGTCCACGAAGAAAGAGCCCCACTGTTTAGATACAAAGTAAGGACCTTGGGGCTGATCTCCCTGAAAGAAAAATAAATAAATATGTAATCTTAAAAAAAAAGAAATCTTCTTTCTGTATCTGACCACAAGCATCAGTTTAAGGAACTCTAGTGTTTCTCTGATTTTCTGGAAAAACTGTATTGTATCTCAGGAGCAAAGTGACTTTAAAATATTATAAATAAAAACAATAACAATATTCCTCTCATAAGTCCACAAGCTCCTGTTTATGCAATTTATGGATTCCCTAGGACATAAAAAGTTGGCTTTAAATATTTTTCCCTTAAAAAATCTTCTATTTTCCCTGTTTTTCTGTTTTCAATAGCATGAATAGCCTGCTGCCTTTCTCTGCTAGAGAAGCTGGGTAGCTGCAGCACAGACTGTAACCCAGCCTGGAACTCCTCCTGGGAGAAAGGAGTCTCCCAGTGCTGGATGGAGTAACTGTGAAGGATGCATCAAGCCACCTGTGTCATGTTATCTGTTTTTGAACTGAGGAATGAGTGAGAACAGAGCCACAGGATCCATGGAGAGCCATTAGGTTGCCTAGCAAATTGTGAAAAATTGATTTTTTTCCATGTGTATTTTCAGATGACAACAACACACAGACTCATTATGTTTTAAAGAAAGCATTAAAGCAGCATTGGGAAAACTGATTTTTTTAGCAGTTCATCTTGAAACCTGCTATGTATTGCCATGAGCAGCCCGAAAAAGCTCCAGGAGGCCTCTACAGAAAGATGAAAAAATGGAAAACAAAACTGTGAACTACACTGTAGAAAATCTGTTAAAGTCATTTGTGTGCAAAGTATCTTTTCAGACCAGCAAAACATAGAAGAACAGATATCCTAGCGTGTGCCTCCAGACTCGTGAACTTTTGTACTTTATTTTCCATTTAACCCCTTTCTTAATAGTTTTGAGAATCTGCTGGAATAATTGTGTTTATGACAGAGGTCCGCAGCTTTTGCTCACAAGAAAGCTATTGATGCAGCTGAACAGACCACGCCAGTAAACACAGAGCCATTCTTTTTGTGATTCTGCACAACAGTTTTTTTCTCTGACCATAGCTGGGGGTGGGGAGGAAGTATTGATTTGGACAAATATAGATATTGGTTTCTGTCTTCTGATGTATATCGGTTGGAAAAAAGCCTCATATATTTTGTTTCAAAACAAGCAGTTAAGAGCTGAGTTCTTTCGTGTTTTTTTTTTTTTCCCCCCTCACACACAGGGGTAGCATCTTACATTTTTTTTTGCCAAATCTTATCTTTCCATGCAAATCCCAGGACTTTACATCAGCTATAATTAAAAGTAGATGTTATGCTGAATTAAAATCCGTTTGCCAGCTGGATGACACATGCAGAAAACTTTTAAGGCCGTTACAGCTGTTCAGGTGTTTAATCAAAACAACCACCCCAGTACTGGCCCACATAAGCATTTGCACAAAAGACAGGGCCTTGTTTATTGAGAAGAGAAAAAACCTGAGGCTTCTGCTTCCTGAAATGTATGATTGGCTCAACAGGCAATTAAAATTGCAATCTGTAGAAATTAATTGATTTTTTCAGAGCTCTGATTCTCAGAGTGGGAATTTCTTCCTTATTAAGGAGGAGGGAGTTACATTTTGGATTTACAGCCCAAGCCCTTAGTAAAACCAAACCCAGTTAGCTATGAGAGTTGTCATCAAGTCACCTGGTAGAGGACTCCTGTTGTTTTGCTACTGGCTTATCTCCACATGACAGAGGAGGTTTGGTAGGCTAAATCTTGTTCTCAAATCTTATAACACATCTCATTTTTTTTTGCCCACATCCTCAGGAAGCATCAGACATTGCTCCCCCTGCCATCCCTAACTGGTGTCTAGAAGATGTCCATCTCTCATCTGCAGCATACATAGCCTGCAATGAAGGACAGACCATGGGCCATGAATCTATACATCTGTGAAATGAGGCAGAAGTGCCCTGTTAACATCACTACTCCTCACATGCCTGGAGGCACACATTCAGCAGTGGGGCCCAGGAGCTCTGGAAGGTGCACCAGCCACTCCTGCAGTCCCCAGACATGGGGTTTGCTCTCAAAGCAGGACAGGAGATCCTGGGAAGTGCTGAGCAATCCCTCTTTCTTATGCAAAACCCCCAAGCATGTGGTTTTGCTCTCAGGCATATTGGTCAGACAGTAGCAGGTCAGACGTTGATTGTGTCAGTGGAGGGTACAAAGCCTCAAAGACTAAGTCTTGACTTCAGAGAAATAACAATGGTACCAGCGTGCCCCAAGTCCCAGGGCTTTCCACTAAGTTAAGCCACCTGGAATACTTACTATCACCTTGGCTTTATTAACTGCAGACAAATAGGGCCTGTTAACAGAGCAGACAGAATCTGGTAATAGGACCCTTGGGTAACACTGGTTTGTCAGCTTACAAATGACCTTTCTAAAATACAAACAGGCAGGCAGCTAAGCTCTGAAGTTTTTCTACATTTGGTAAAGAGATGAAAGAAAGAAGGATGTAAAGGAGACAGGAGTGAAAAATCAAGCTGTTAGTATTTTTTAAAGGCATTATTTAGATGGAGATTTGCCATCTATGCCATTGTCTTTGTACCAAGTGCAGAGCACTAGGATTGCTTTACTGCATCCAGTATGTTGGGTAGTACTGATGGCTGTAGGCTCTGTGCTGAGATGGTAACGCCACCACCGACTCTTAGTGCTAGAAAAAATCCATGCTCAAAATACAGTTTTGACAGTATAATGGCAAGTATTTGAGGTGTTTCCACGAGCACAGCTGTGCTGGTCACAACAACCAGATGTCCCTGAATAACACACCCATGCTGGGTGTGCAAATAGGCAAGCCTGCCACTGGTCTAACTTTTGCACAGAGCCTGCCCCCCGCAAGTCATGTGCAAATATGAAACATTTCACCCATGATCATTGTACCTAAACTACAACCTGGATCACTATAAGCAGACTTTAAAATAAAATGCATTTCAGTTCAGAATATCACTTTACGGATACTGCTTTAACTCGCCAGGCTTCACAACAGGCCATCAGGTTGTTCCTGAAAGTACTGTTAGATTTGTGTTAAAGATAAATGGGAATAAAGAGACAAACAGAGCCAAAAGGCACAGAGTAATTAGCCTTGTCTATGGCTAGGAGAGTCCTGGAAATTTGGGAATGGCAAGGGAGTCCTGGGAATTAAGGGACGGCAAGGGAGTCCTGGGAATTCGGGGGGGGTTAAGAGCCCTGAACCCCCGCAACCAACCAGCCACTAGGCAAAACTGTAAAAATTAATTATCCTTCTACTGCTAAAATATTGTCTATATCCGCCAATAAATTATTTGATTTCTGCTCCATTCATTCCTATAGCCCAAAGTTTTTACACACTGACAAGCTCTTCTGTAATTGTTTCCCTCGAAATCCTGGGACAAATTCCAGCTTTTCTTCGAGTTTTCATTGATGGAATTGATCACACATTTAAAGAACAGAAAGCAAAAACAAAGCCTCCAGCCAAGCAAACAAACCCCCAGACCTGGGGGGAATCTTGTTTCAACACAATGCTTGGTATTTTTTTCCCCCTGCATGCTGCAATTCACTTAGGAGCTGAGTAATTGCATGAATAGTTTTTAGTTTGCTATTCTCTTGCTCATTTGGTTATGACTCATATACTTCAAAGAACTGCAGTTGTTACCAAAATTTCACAATTATGTGTATCTGGCTTATATCATGCATTTAATTAAAGGGAAAAGACAAAAACTGCTAATGAAAATGGAAGTTACTAGCCTCCCAGTTTGTGTGTGAGGAGGTTGTTTTCTTCCCCTCTCTCTGTTAGTGATGAAATACCAGTCAAACAACTGAAAACAGGTTTTTGTAATTTCTTTCTGAAAGATGCAATTGCGAATTAGAAGTAATACTTCATTTCTTTAATAATATTTTGTAAAGGTTGGTAGAAGAGAGTATTGCATCTTATATTAAATTTTCAGTCCCTCCCTGCAACACACAGCATGGCATGGAAAATCTGCAATAGTAGCGTATTTTTTTTATTGCCAAGGAAGGATAAGGCTGATGAACCAGACTAAATCTAATCTGTTAGTGCCTAATCTTCCAAAAACACCTGACTTTGTACAATCCTTTGAATTGGCTTTTCTCCCCTTTTAACCAAAGGGTTAATGGGAGAAGTTGATTAGGGGAACGAAAATAAAACTTTCACAGGCTTGTAAAGGGAGTCCCTTTGAACTAGTCCTGTTAAGTTAGTGGTGTCCAGTCAACTGCAGAGATATGGATGTGACCTGTTGTTCAGACTCCAGTGAGCCGCGTGGTAATGAAATAACACCACTGACCTGCCACAGCCCCCCTGGCTCAGGTTCCTTTAATCAACGCAATTCATTTCTCCCTTGCTTGCTTGCTGTCACTGGTAGCGGATGTAAACTGAACAGGGGTTGTGTGTAGCAGGGGTGGTGTCTCCCCGAGATACTGCAACCTCTTATCAGGAATACTACAGCATTAGTGAAATGTCAAGCACCTATCTAAAAGTCTCTATTTCCTGCTTGATAACTGCAGCGGTAGAGAAGATGGATCTTGTGAGCAGTTGACCAGAGGTATCGCAACAAAATAAAACCAAATCATCATCAAGGGCTTGGAAACACATCACTCAGTAACTCTTTCTTTGTACTTCCAGGAAAAGAAACATTTTCTGGCTGGCTGTTTAAAAATGTGTGCTTCAAAAGCATATATTCAACATGCTTAAGAAACTATGGTTGAATAAAAAACCCCAAACCTTTTGGAGATGTAAGTTCTACACAGCAATACAGCAGAGTCTCCAGTCAGAGAATGAACAAATTTGTAGAGGAGAATGAGTTATTTTTATAGCATTAATGAATTAAATCAAATTATATTAACCTATGTAGCACTACTACTCACTCTTCCTTCTCCCCCACCCTGTCTTACTGAGAAACACATTTTTCTTGACAGGACAGTTGAGTTTGTTTTTCTACAACCCAGGAAAAAGTCTAAATGTTAATGATTACACTTCCTTATTTAAGTGACTGAAATGTCCTTGTCTGACCTTAGTTTAGAAATCAGGATAGTGGGGGAAAATATTAGATACATCTATTAAAAAAAGTAGATAGATAGTAAATAGATGTTACATATATGTTCTTTTAGTCCCATTGAAGATATGCTTTTCTCCATAAAAAACCAGGGGCTTTTAAATGCTTCTTAGTCACATTAAAAACGTCTCTAGTATAAAAGTACCTCACAAAAATCTTCGTATCGGTAAGTTAACTTTCTAATCACAGACAGTAATTATTTAAAAAGAAGAAAAAGGTTAAGTGCTTTTCAAAGCAAAGTGCAAAAAGCATATATTTCTCTCTGCAATTAGAAGAAAATGACCTATTTATTTAGGAACATAAGAAAAGAAGAAACACTCCAAATGGAAAGTGAAGCTGCACTGTGGTTCCTACATAGGACACGATGGAGGTACAATGCTGCTGCCTTGGTCATCCGAGTGCCATTCCCTATCTACTTTGCTCTTCGCCAGTGGAGAGAAGGATAAACCATAGTAACCTTCCACCTTCTGTGGGGGAATTAAAGTGTGGCAGTTGTACTAAGGTCCTGATTCCTGGCTGCAGTCAACCTGAAAATCACATTATTTATCTGAGGTAACTATCACTAGTCTGCATGGGGTCAGACTTCGAAACAGTTCCTTTTATCTGAGTAGAGCTGTCACCAAAATAAACAACCTATGAGGGAAACAGCAATTTAAAAGTTCTTGGTATTTAGGGAAAGCACGAGCAAACTGTATTTCACGGAAAGAGACAGAGAGCTTTAAAACAAGCTAATAAAAATTCCTCCATGTTTACTGTTGGCCACATCACACAGGGAAACGTCATGAACGCGGCAGAGTTCAGGTGCTGGACTTGTGATAAGTGGCCATGAAATTCCTCCTTGTAGGACGCAGGGCAGGTTCTTGTTACTGAAAAGAAGACTATGTTTTTTGGTTAAGGGACTGCACGTATAGCTCTTTTTCTGAGGTCCGCGATTTAGCTCTGGGTGGCGGTTCTGTGTCACCCCAGCAATGCCAAGCTGGGACAGGATGGCACCTCCTGGTGCGGCAAGGAGGGTTGTTTTCAAGGGGTGCTGATGCTGCTAGCTGCCTAGTAAGATAAGCAGGCTCACTTTCAGCGCAGGTGGCACAAGGCTTTTTTGTAACTTATTTTCTCCTGTTCCAGGAAACACCTGCAAGGAATCCTTACCTCATATTTTCCTTTCTTCTCCAAGGGCTCAGATTCAGTCTCTGCAGGCACCGTAACTTTGTCCCCTAGAAGCTCCTCTAAGATCAAGACGGTTTCCCAGTTGCTATAGTGACGAGCTGGGAAAATATCTGAGTGCATGCTGTCACCAAAATAAACAACCTACGAGGGAAGCAGCAAATTAAAAGTTCGTTGTATATGAGGAAAACACAAGCAAACCGTATTGCACAGAGAGAGAAAAAGAGCTTTAAAACAACCTAATAAAAATTCCTCCATGTTTATAGTTGGCCATGACACACAGAGATCTTATTAAAGTCACAGTTTGGGGTTTTATCTTCAACCAGCTCTGTAAGGAAAAGGCTGGCCCTGCACAGCCTCCTCGCTCTCACCCTCCAGGGGCATTGGACGGGGATGCCCTGCTGGGACTGGCACAGGGGACACCGCTGAGATTTTTGCCTGACAGAAATAGCCTGCCAGGAAGCAGTGGAAAAGACTACCAAGAAAATACACTAAACAACGGGAATGAATTTTGGACAACTTTGGAAACAAGGGAGAACATGGAGGATCTTTTGGTGACTCAGAACTCTTCTGTGCCCAGGGGGTAGTCTACACACAGGGGAAAATGTTGTCCCTCCATCCTCAGTGGCATTTTCACCCATCCAGACCTGTAATTAAAATAACATGATCCTAGTTTTCACTGATGCCACCTTTTAATCTATCTGATCTGTTTCCTCAGGGAGATTGTTTATTTCCTGATTACAGTCGGATTTTCCCCAAAACTGCCAAAATGCATGATCACGCCCACAGAATAAAACATCTAGAAAGTTTACATATTCTACCGATAAGAAGACTAATATGCTGCTTCCAGTTCTGGACCGCAGTCTGTTAGGCAACAGCAGGCCTAACCAGAATAAAAATTTGTGACTGATCACATCAATAACTTTAATGTAAAGTTTGTCTGGTGAATTTTAGACTGAAACAGGGTATTTTCAGAAAGATTTAGTCTCACTTATAACATACCTTGGGATCCAACTTGCCAGTCATCTTCTTCAGTAATTCATAAAGCTGGATAGCATTACCTTGGGAATACCAGCCGGGCTTGTCTAGTGATAGCAGAGCCTCCTGTTCCTCATCATTCTCTGAAATCACCAAGCAAAATCACTTGCTGTTAGTGAGAGCAGCCCACGCTCCTGTATTTGTGAGATGTGTGAGAAGCTGCATGTGCACAGCTTGGAGATCATGGTCTATTTTGACATTAAACCAGCTCCGGTGTCTGGCTCAAGTCCTGGTACTGACTGCGGGTTCAGTCAAGGTGTTTGGTAGCTGGGGGTAGGCAGACATTTTTGAGAAAAGAAGCAGCCGAGCCTTGTCTGCAAGGGCTACAGAAGAGCTGAGGAATCAAAGTCATAGGATTTGCCTCCCAAACACTGCAGCAGTGAAGGCAGGAAACCACACGGACTAGACTGATAGAGGAGCTGCTACAGATCTAAGGCGAAACCATGAGATAAGACAGACTATAAGAGCCAGCATGTAGCTTTCCCCACAAATTACCTACTGCATTTAAACACTGACATAAATACAACAGAACAGGCTGAGGTAGCTCTTCTGGGCATTCGCCAGCCTTAGATCAGCACAAACAACGAGCAGTTCCAGTTATCATCCAGTTTTGAAGAAATGACGAGTGGACAATATTGCTACTGGTGGTGTAACCCACATTGGCATATATCCACAGTGGCAGCGAACCGGAAAAATCAGTAGAAGCTGAAACTCCCTGGTCATCACCCAGCTGTGCCATAGGCTTTGTTTCTAGCTGGTCCCAAAGCAGCTGGATCTGTCCTGGTGTCCATGTAACCTCATTGCTCATTCAGATCCATGTGCTATTGCCAGAAGAACTCCTTTTAGCTTCTTGTTGGAGCCAAAAAGTACTAGCCTTAGTGAGCCAATAAACTAGAATTGCATCTGAAATATTAATATTAATGTCTTCTGTCTATTGAAGTGGTTAAACAAAAGGGTGATTTTGTTATTCAGTCTCAATCAACCATGTCTTATTTTTTATGCTAGAGACAGAGGGGTTAGAAGCCAATACAGTACTTTGTTCTGACTTACGTGTAACATCAGGACTTCAGGTTTCCTCCTGCTTTATAGAATTTTTCAAAGTACTTAAAATGTGTTAGGAAGAAGACTAAGACAGAGCAAACTTCATTTGGTTAGACTGCTGAAAGCTGGAATGCAAATTTGGGAGAACAGCGAAATGCCAAGACAGCTTTATGTTTAAGAGCACTGAAGATGTACATGGCGCAGTACACTGGTCCTTGAAAGAAATCAAAAAAAGCAGCAAAGGAGGGAAATAGGTATGTGGGGAGAGGCAGTAAATCATTCTCTAATACTATGAATCTAAGAATTTGAATAAACACAGGATTTATTCTCAGACAAAATGATTCTGTAATAAGGGTCTTTTATAAACTAGGAAAAAACAAGGAAATTCAAAGTTAAGACTAACAATTCACGTAGAACTTGTGTGGAAATGTCTTTTCCTTTGTTCTTCTTCAGAAACCTAAGGCTAATAAGTATGATAGCATCCATGAAAAAAATCTTTGATTTCCTGACTTTTAAAATACCTTTGACCAAACAACTTTTGATCAAACAGAAGTTGTCAAGCTTCAGCAAATTTGTTTTATTTTCCCTGTATTTTTAGACATATTTGCAAGGCTGGCTGAACGAGTAGACACAATCTTCAAATGATATGGACATAGAAAAAAAAAACCTTATGAAAACAACTCTTTGAGCCACTATCAAAAGTTTCTTCAAAATTGTGAAGGTTTGTATAGCTATCAGTCTCTCCAGTCAGTCAATCAGGAAAATACTAGAGAAAAATTGAGCTATTATGAGAGGGATTTTCAGCATAACCACATTGCATTTGTGAATAGGAGCCCTATGTATTACAGCAGCACCAGAAGGCTCCAGCAAAGAGCAAGACCCTGCTTTGCTACCTCTATGGAAAGGCATGGGGGGCAGTCCTGACTGAAAAAATTCACTCTAATTACAAGGTAGAAGATCTCTCACTCGGCGAGATCTATTACTGTCACCCCTAACAATGGGATTCATCTCACTTAACTTGGTGCATCCGGAATTTAGGCTTCTAATTTACAGTTACAAGCTGAACTAGTTGGCCAGGATCCCTCGGTAGGCAAAAGAGAGCGCAAGAAGCACTTTCTAGAGGTGCCAGCTCTTGAGAAGGAAAGGATTTAATTAAGTTAGGAACTTTGCATTTAGGCAGTGAAATGAAGGGAAATTTTGAAGCCTGGTTTCCCTCTCTGTGCTTGGAGGCAGCAAACAGCATTGAGTTGTCTAATTCATTACAGGAACACCTTGGTTTTGGAAGGAGCTTCAGAAATCTGAGGAATTAGGAAAGGTCCTTTATAATATTTGAGTTGTAGGCTTATAGGCATAATGACTGAACTGGCAAACCTTGCCTCGAATCATCTCATATAGCTACTTGTGCTCACACATCTAGGGGTGACTGTCAATTCTATTTCTGTAATCTGAAGTAGGAGGAAATGAATGGTGTTTCAGTTGCAGTAAGTCATTAACGAGAACGGTTTCTAATCCATTTACACTTTCCTTGTGGCAAAATATAGTCAAGAAAATTATTCTTCAGCACTGGATTTTCAGGCCTCTTGTAGTAGTTCTGCCATGTAAAAATTGATATGCAACAACTTAAGAACCCATTAATGACACCATTGGCTCTGGCCTTGTATTGTATCCTTCAGATAGCAGCTACATGACAGAGCTGAAGAAATCTGCAAATTTCCTCCAAAAATGCTGCATAAATGTGATTATGGTAGTTCCTAATTTATTTTAGATATTCCAAGCCTAACATTGGCTACACCCAGACAAGAAGAAAACTGCTGCTGACCTTCCTTCCACTTTGCTGTTATTGATTTGTAAAAGTTCATTCAAAGGTCAGAAATGCTATAAATATTCCTCGAGCAGGAAGCAACACATATATAGGCGGGGATGTTAATGCTTTAGGTCTTATAAGCTGGGAGGAAAAGGAGACATCCTGACAATTTCAAACAGACTGGATAACCAAAAAGAATTTCTCAGATGATTTAGATAGAGCGACTTGCTTCCTTCTGAAGTCTAATATATCACTGCAACCCAGATTCCTGGCTGTAGACTGAAAACGTGCCACGACAAGAAATGTAAAGGTAGCAAGCAAGTAAAATTAAAATAATTAAACCCAGAAAATCATTTTATTTAAAGACTCATCCAAACCTCAACAGTGATTCAGAGCCGTTTTCCTGAGGGGAGGTTACTGTTCCTTTTTAAAAACAACAACAAAAGCTTGACTCATGCTGGAGCAATATTAATATTACTGGAATGGCAATTTGCATATTTGTTGTGTCTAACAGCTTGGGAAATGTCTTCTGATTCAGAAATGTACTCCTATCACCATTAGCACGTACATTTTTTCAGATAAACCAATTCACTAACAAGACTCAGTATCCTTTTTCTTGTGAGAATTTTCTTGCCTGCCTTTAAATGTGTATTGCAGCTTTATAACACGGGCTGAGGAACATCTGGTTTCATTCTAAATGAATATGCAAAAAGTAATCAGTGAAGCTTATTCCTATTGAAATGACAACTGATGGTAATTTACTTTGGCACAGAGTCGCTCCTTGGGAAGGACTCTGCACACGCTTGCTTACTGCTGTCTGCTTTGCTATCCGTTTATGGGTTATACCCCTCGAGATGGAAACCTAAACACGTGCAGTGCTGAGGTTGTGTCCACACTCATGTTCAGCCCCGGGTCTGAACCTGGAGCTCTATCCCTAACCTGGCTGGAGTCTACACTGTTAAACCCCAGCCCATGGGATGGGGCTCTTATTTGGGAGGCCTGAGGTTAAGAGAGAAGCTAGGAGGTGAGGGTGAATTTATGCTTTCAGAGTTATTCACCTATACTCAGCCACACCTACACCGAGGTTAATTTTCATCAGCTCACCAGCCCTGAGGCCACCACCCTGTGCTGCTCCTTTGGTTGGGTGCCCTACCGCGAGTGTTGGTTACGTGCCAGGGCGAGGACCCGCGAGTGACCCACCTGAGAGCCCGAGGACACCTCGCACCTACTTGACTGGGCAGAGACAGGGGTAAGAAGGCAACTCCAAGTGCCTGGAGGCCATGCCAGCTGAAGATGTGCTAGGTTCAACTGCAGTGTGTGTACAGCTCCCCAGCAGCCCCTTCTTCTGCCTTTCCATCTTTCTCCTGGCAGCCTTTTACTCGTTTCCATACAAATCTAGTTAGACCGGCTATTAGGGTTAGTGATTTACTGATATTTTTTTGTTCCTTTGAACTGTGCAATAGAATAAAACCATGCGGTGACTACTCGCCGCTGCTCGTGCCTGTACCTGCTCCTGCCTCTTCCTACCCATGGGCCGCTCCGGCGGGCTCTCACGGCGTGCAGGCGCTTAGCGCAGACGGGCGTACGCGTTCAGCGCACCGAAGCCCTGGTTACTGCCTCGGGGGGCTACTGTAAAACAAGTACGTTTTATGATCCACAACTATCATACTGATATGCCTCTCTGCAATTTAAAATAGAATCATAGAATCAGAGAATCGTTTAGGTTGGAAAAGACCTTTAAGATCATCCAGTCCAACCATTAACCTACATGACGAAATCCACACTGAACCAATCAAGGGTAGACTAGACTAAACCATGTCCCAAAGTGCCACATCTACCTGTTTTTTGAATACTTCCAGGGATGGTGAGTAATAATAATGTCATTTCAGGCTGTGAGGACATTAATATAAAAGCTGGGTGATGCTCAGCCCAGCTTGCAAGCAGTTTGATTGTAGCTGGCATTTGGAGCTCACTTAAGAAACACAAACGCTCTTTTCCAGAAGGGGACTCGGGGCAGGAAAGCACATCATTTTACAGTCAAGACAAAGGGACCTGCATAAGTAAAATCCTTCTGGTGGTTTCTTCCAGCTGGAAAGGTAATGAGATGGGATGCCATAAGCTGTAGAGTTCCCCGGCAGGCATGCTCTCCATGAAGAAAGCAAGTACTTACAAGCTTGCTGGGGGTAAAACTTCATACCCTATGGCCACCCTTCTGTAGGGTGGCACCCCAAATTCCTA